ATCCAAACTACACAACGTCATCTGTATAACATGGTGGAGGCAGTGTGATGGCATGGGCATGCATGGCTTCCAGTGGCACTGGGTCATTGATGATGTGACAGAAGACAGAAGCAGCTGTGTTTACAGATATACTGTCAGCCCACATTCAGCCAAATGCAGCAAAGGTGATTGGATGGTGCTTCACAGTACAGATGGACAATGATCCAAAACACACTGCAAAAGCAACCCAGGAGCTTTTGAAGGGAATATTCTGAAGTGGAATATTCTGCAATGGCCGAGTCAATCACCTGATCTCAACCCAATTGAGCATGCATTTCACTTACTGAAGGCAAAACTAAAGGCAGAAAGACCCACAAACAAAGAGCAACTGAAGACAGCTGCAGATAGAGCCTGGCAAAGCATCAGAAAGGAGGAAACCCAGTCTTTGGTCATGTCCATGGATTCCAGACTTCAGGCAAAGCATCAGAAAGGAGGAAACCCAGTCTTTGGTCATGTCCATGGGTTCCAGACTTCAGGCAAAGCATCAGAAAGGAGGAAACCCAGTCTTTGGTCATGTCCATGGGTTCCAGACTTCAGGCAAAGCATCAGAAAGGAGGGAACCCAGTCTATGGTAATGTCCATGGGTTCCAGACTTCAGGCAAGGCATCAGAAAGGAGGAAACCCAGTCAGTCATTGGTAATGTCCATGGGTTCCAGACTTCAGGCAAAGCATCAGAAAGGAGGAAACCCAGTCTTTGGTAATGTCCATGGGTTCCAGACTTCAGGCAGTCATTGCCAGTAAAGGATTCTCAACAAAATAATACAAATGAATATTTTATTTATGATTATATTCAATTGTTAAATTACTTTTGGTCCCTTGAAAAAAGGGGGATGGCTGCTCTTAAGAGCTGTAATTCCTAAACCCTTCCTCCAATTTGGATGTACATACCCTCAAATTACACCTGAGAGTGCGCACTTTCAGCCCATATCCATTATGTAACTATAGCTTCAGTATGTTTTGGTAAATACCTGAATAAATTCTAAAATTGTGCCTGTGTCCAAATATATATGGACCTAACTGTGTATATATACACAAATATGGCTTTTGAGGTCTCTGGAGTGGGGTAAGGGTTCCTCTCTGAGTAACAGATTCACTAAAGTCAGAGCATGAACATGATATCTCACATGCAAACACTGATGTAAGGCAAGATCTGCTCTACTGGCTGTCTGATGGGTGACACTAAGAGGGTAGTCAGAAAAGTCTACCGAATGAAGATTGGTAGTCACAGGGATTTCTTCTGAAGCACTGGATGTGATACCAAGTTTTATTTCTCCACCTAAAGAGGTAGCAGAAAGTTTATCCATGCTATACCATGATATAGTCCATCTGGAGCAAAATAGGACAAATGAAAATGTTTAACTTTTTATTGACCAGAGGTTAATGAAACCTGGGTCCCCAGGCCAAACTACCAGACTTTGCTGTCCATTTACACCCGACTACATAGTTACATAGTTAGCCTGGCTGAAAAAAGACGAAAGTCCATCCAGTTCAACCATTAAAAAAAAAAAAGTTATAATCCTACACCCACAGTTGATCCAGAGGAAGACAAAAAACCCAGCAAAGCATGATCCAATTTGTTCCTGCAGGGAAACAAATTCCTTCCTGATCACCCGAGAGGCAATCGGATATTCCCTGGATCAACTTTACCTATAAATGTTATATTCAGTTATATTATGTGTATCTAAGAAAGAATCCAGGACTTTCCTACAGCAATCCACTGAGCTGGCCAGAACCAACTCTTGAGGGAGTCTATTCCACATTCTCACAGCTTACTGTGAAGAAACCTTTCCGTGTTGGGTGATTACATTTCTTTTCCTCCAGACGTAAAGAGCGCACCTTGTCCTCTGTGATGACCTCAGGGTCTAACTGATATATCATTTTTTTTTTCATATGAACACTATATTATGTGCAATGTGTTATATTGCAATTCATTTTTTGCAATGGTCATTGTAACAGAATTTAGTCCTGTTATGCTTTTTTGGTTATTTTTGTTTTTCTTAGCTGGTAGTGGATTTTTTATTTCCTTCCCAGTTTCAGAATGCCCACCACAGTCCCGCTATAAGTGGCTGATCACCGCCATTACTAGTAGAAAAAAAAAAAAATTTCCAGTATATATACCACCATTTGTAAACGCTATAACTTTCACATAAACCAATTAATTTACACGTTTTGGGGTTTTTTTTTTTTTTAGCAAAGACATGGAGCAGAATACATATTGGCCAAAATTTATGACAAAATTAGATTTTTACTGGACATGTTTAATAGCAAAAAAAGTAAAAAATATTGTTTTTATTTTCAAAATTGGCGGTCTTTTTTTGTTTATACCGCAAAAAATAAAAACGCACAGGCGATCAAATACCATCAAACAAAAGCTTTATTTCTGGGGAAAAAAAGATGTAAATTTCATTTGGGTGCAACATTGCATGACCACGCAATTGTCAGTTAAAATGTAGCAAAAAATGACCTGCTCAGGAAGGGGGGTAAATCCTCTGGAGGGCAAGGGGTTAATGCATTCTATGCATTAAGGTAAAAAAAAAACCTGTGCCGGGGATCCCCCCCTGTACCTTCCTGAGCCCCTTTGCAATCCAGCACTGTGCATGAGAGCAGTGGCTCTCCCGGCTCTGTCCCTCCTCACAGAGTGGATCCATAGCCAATGGATCCCGTGTTGTCAATCAAACTCTGAAAAGGAAGCAGGGGGTGGGGCACGAAAGCAAGCTTGCACTAGTTTCCCCATAGGAAGCCGCTTCCTTATGGAGGCACTGGCTCAAGAGGAGAAGCCAGGAGTGCAGGCGAGGGACCCAAGAAGAGAAGGATCGGAACTGCTGTAGGGTTGCATAGAGCATGTAAGGATGACATGTTTGCTTTACCCCCCTTCCTGACCAAACCATTTTTTACGTTATGGCGTTGCGTTACTTTAACAATTGCGCGGTCATGCAACGCTGCTACGTCCTTTTTTTCTCACATATTGAGCTTTCTTTCGGTGGTATTTGATCGTCTGTGCATTTTTTATGCTATAAAAAAAAATTTTTTTGAGAAAAAAAAACTATTTTTGACTTTTTGCTATTAAACATATCCAGTAAAAAAATTAAAATAATCAAATTTCATCAAATTTGAGCCAAAATGTATTCTGCTCCATGTCTTTGCTAAAAACAAATCCCAAAAATGTGTAAATGAATTGGTTTATGTAAAAGTTATAGCGTCTACAAATGGCGGTATAGATACTGTAATTATTTATTTCTTTACTAGTAATGGCAGTGATCAGCGACTTATAGCGGGACTGCAGCAGACATTCTGACACGGGGGGAACTGACTTGGTGTCACTGACATCCCTAGTGACACCAATACAATGATCAGTGCTAATAAAAAGCACTTACACTGTACTAATGGCTCTGGGCAGGAAGGGGTTAACATGAGGGGCGATCAAAGGGTTAACTGTGTGCAGGGAATGTTTTACATAGGGGGCGGTGTGTTGGTGCTTCTCTGTAAGGACACTGCTCTGGATGGCTGTGGTGTGCCCGAGCTGACAAGGAAGGAGGACTGTTAGTAAACAAAACAGTCCTCCTCCCTGTCGGTGTTCGTCGGAAATCACCGGGCGCCGGCGAGTAATTACCGTCCGGAACCCAGTGATTGACAGCCGCAAATGGCGACGCATGCCTGATGAAGGGGTCCTGTGAGACTGCAAAACGTTGCCTTGCTGTAACTATGTGATCGTTTATTGAAACTTTTGGCCCCATATTGGTGATCCTCGGTGTGCTGGTGACATTCTCCCTTGCTGATTCTGTTCGACTCCAGCCGACAGTCGCTGCAGCACCCACTTATACACACAGCTATTTATAACACAGGAACGTGTGCCACATGCGCGCCCCCTATCTGGCCATGTGAAATCACACATATATATATATGTGACTTTGCATGTGATTTTGCACACCCGTGCTGCCCTGTAGCAGTATTTCTGCTATAGGGCGGACGGGATGCGGTTTTAATTAAAAAAAGCTGAATGTTTACAAAATAAAAAAAATGTAAAAAATAAAAAAAATTAAAAAAATACCAAAATCAAGGTTTGATCTAGGTCAGTGCCAGGGTCAGTGTTTGGGTCAAAGTCAGAGACAGTATTTTTTGGGGCAGGATTTTTTTTTCTTTCAATTTTCAAATTAGTGTCAGTGTGCTTTAGGTACGATTAAAAAAAAAAAAAGCAAAATGCACACTATTGATTCTGGGCTGTACTACGGGTACAAACAACTAACATACACAAATATGGTATCTCTGCGATCGTCAGAAGCAGGAGAATATATTTTGGGTTGTTCTTTGGTGGTAGGTTATGGTAGTAGCAAGAAATATACAGCTAAATTAAAAAAAAGATTTTTTTGTTCTTACTACTTTGGATCAGTTTTCCTTGATAACTGAAAAAAAAAAAAAAATCAGGAAATATCCATTACCATTTACCAGCACAAGAAAGCCCAATTTATCCTGAAAAGGTATAATCCACTTGGATGTACGAAGTAGCTGCAAGATGATGTATGGTTTTACTAAGAAATGTCAAAGTTGCAAAATTGTGCTTAGGCATTAACATTTGTTTTACCGTTAGGCGGGAAGGGGTTAATAACACTTTAATGACTTAAAATGGTTATGGAATTACAGTAAGCCAGTGAGTGCTTTGCTTGCAGGCGTTGGTGGGCATGTTTAAATATTACACAGGACATCTGAAAATATTGCATACAAGTCACAAAAGGAACAGATCTACAAATGTTTTCATGGGCACGGAGAGCTGACTTCTTCTGAAGACTCTTCCAAGATGGGAATGTGACTATGACTTCACCCTTGCATGAGTTTTTTGGTGCTTGGAAAGAGTCGACTTCCATAAAAAACTTTTCCCACATTCAGAACATGGGTACGGCTTATCGCTGGTGTGGCTTTTTTTTGATGTCTGTTAAAAGTAATTTTGTCAATAAATTCTTTCCCACATTCCGAACACGAATACGGCTTCTCCCCAGTGTGAACTCTTTCATGTTTGATCAGAGATGGTTTTAAAGAAAAACATTTCCCGCACTCTGAACATGAAAACGGCTTCTCTCCCGTGTGGGATCTTTGATGTTTAGCAAAATCGGCTTTCTGTATAAAACTTTTCCCGCATTCGGAACACGAGTATGGTCTTTCCCCGGTGTGAATCATCCGGTGTCTGCTAAGTCTGTCTCTTCTAGAGAAACTTTTCCCACACTCAGGACATGAGAATGGCTTCTCCCCTGTGTGAGATCTGAAATGTTTAACAAAATCGGATTTCTGCATAAAACACTTCCCACATTCGGGACACGGGAATGGCCTTTCCCCTGTGTGACTCATCTGGTGTCTAATAAGTCTTTCTTTTATAAGAAAAGATTTTCCACATTCTACACAGGGGTACGGCTTGTCCCCCGAGTGATATTTTTCGTGATTGATAAGAGTGGATTTCTGTAAAAACCGTTTCCCACACTGAGCACATGAAAAGGGCTTAACAACAACATGGCTTTTTTGGTGTCGCTGAAGAAGATATTTATCTACGTAACACTTTCCGCAATCTTTGCACGCATATGGCTTCTCCCCCGTGTGAGCTCTCTGATGGATAAGAAGGCGTGATTTAGCAGAGAAACATTTCCCGCACTCCGAACAGGGATATGGTTTCTCTCCAGTGTGAGTTCTCTGGTGTACCCGCAGACGAGACTTAACAGAAAAACATTTCCCGCACTCCGAACACGATAACGGCTTCCCCTCTGTAGAAGATTTTTGTTGCGTAAGACATAACTCTTGTTCGGGATCCAGCTTCTCCCCAGCATGAACTTTTGCATGCTTGACAAGCCCTGATTTCCAACAAAACCTTTTCCCGCATCTTAAACACGAATATGGCGTCTCTCCCGTGTGAGCCCTCAGGTGAACGACAAGACGGGATTTAAAAGGAAAGCGTTTCCCGCATTCCGAACATGAAAAACGCATTTCTACCGTTTGAGATTTTTGATGCTTATCAACTGATGGTTTTTGTGCAACAGATGTCTCCTGTCCAGAATTCGGCTTCTCCTCCGAGTGAGCTTTTCCATGTTTGAGAAGTGTTGCTTTCCATCGAAAACATTTCCCACATTCAGAACATGCATACGGCTTCTCCCCCATGTGCGTTCTCTGGTGTGCAACGAGACGTGATTTGAAAAAAAAAAACTTCTCCCGCACTCCGGACAGGAATGGGACCCCGCTCCTACATGAGATCTTCGGTGTGAGATGAAGTTTGCTCTCCGGTTGAAAGATTCTCCGCATTTCGAACATGAAAACTGCTTTCTGGGCGCGTGAGTCCTCTCGTGGATAAGAAGATTCCATTTTTCCCGAAAGTGCCTTCCGCATTCCGAACAGGAATACGGCTTGTCTCCGGTATGAACTTTCTTATGCCTAGCAAGAGTGGATTTAATCGCAAAACGCCTTCCGCACTTAGAACACGGATATGGCTTCTCCCCGGTGTGGGTTCTGCGATGTGCGATAAGGTCTTGGCTCTGAGCAAAGCATCTCCCACATTCAGGACAGGAATACGGCTTCTCCCCCGTGTGAGTCCTCAGGTGTCTAATAAGGTAGGCTCTCCGGGAAAAACATTTAGCACACTCCGAACAAGAGTAGGGCTGTGTGTGAGTTCTTTGTGAGGTGGATTCAAAAGATGAGGATGCTTCACCCCCTAGAAATGAAAAAAAAAAAGATATTTGTCAGGATAATTCTATATACTTGGGCAGCACAGTGGCTAAATGGTTAGCGACATTTTGGAAAAAAGAGAATGGAGCTTTTTAACCACCTCCCATTGTATATAAACAGCCGGACGGTGGCAGTGCAGGGTTGGGTGGCTGTTTATAAACAGCCTCCCCGCCCCCTGCTTGTGCGTGCTCCCTGGGAGCGCGCAACACCGCAATCTGGTGCCTGCTGTGTCCTCCGGACACAGTGGAACACCGATCGTCGTACGGGACCTCTGTGCGAGGTCCCGATCATGTGATCACTGATTTGCCAATCAGTGATCACATGCAGAGTAGTAAGCAAGATGTCACTTCTGACATTGCTTACTATGTGTGAAATCTGTGAATGATCACAGAGATCACATGGTACAGGGCTATTCTCAACAGCCTTGTACCATGTGACAAGCTGTGACCAATCACAGCTCACACAGTAGTTCTCAATGGCTGCAAGAATGCAGCCAGAGAGAAGGAGAAATGATTGCTTTTACAGCCTTCATGGGTGTAAAAGCAATCAGTGTAAAAGAAAAAAAATGTTCATCACCCCCCACAAGTAGTACAGTGTCACCAAGGTGACACTGTACTGCTAGGGTGACAGTATGTAAAAAAAAAAAAATATATATATATATAAAAAAATTGAATAAAAATGTAAAAACAAAATGTTTAAAAATTATAATTTTTGGTTAGAAACTAATTTGGGTTATTTATTTATTTTTTTACTAAAAAGGTAACGGAATACATTTTGACCAAGATTTATGAAATATTATTTATTTGCAAAATTTTATAAGAAAAACACTTTTTTTCAAAATTGGACTTTTTCATTTACATAGCAAAAAAAAAAATCCCAGTGGTGAATAAAAACCACCAAAATAAAGTTTTATCTTCCTCAAAAAATGCTAAAAAATTCATATGGGTACAGTGTTGCATGACCGCGCAATTGTTCTTCAAAGTGTGATAGCGCTGAAAGCTGAAAATTGGCCTGGACAGGAAGGGGGTGAAAGTGTCCGGACTTGAAGTGGTTAATACAGGACTCCCTTTCAAATCCCTAACCACTTAGGTAGGCGTATACGAAATGCAGCCCCAGCACCATCATCCCAGAGGAGTGGACCATCCAATGTTCTCCACATCAGAGGATTTGCAGGAAGATGTGGCTAAATGGTTAGCACTTTCGCCCATGGCAGTACTAGGGCTCTTGGTTCGAATCCCAACCATGGCACCACCTGCATGGAGTTTGCATGTTCTCCTTGTGCCTGCGTGGGTTTCCTCCGGGAACTCCGGTTTCCTCCCACACCCCAAAGACATGCTGGTAGGTGAACTGGCTCCTGTCTAAATGGGCCCTAGTATGTTTATGTATGAATGTGAGTTAGGGACCTTAGATCGTACGCCCCTTGAGGGTTAGGGACCTTAGATCGTACGCCCCTTGGGGGTTAGGGACCTTAGATCGTACACCCCTTGAGGGTTAGGGACCTTAGATCGTACACCCCTCGTACGCCCCTTGAGGGTTAGGGACCTTAGATCGTACGCTCCCTTGAGGTTTTTAGGGACCTTAGATTGTACGCCCCCTGAGGGTTATGGACTAATGTAAATGTACAATATATATGTAAAGTGCTGTGTAAATTGACAGCACTATAAAAGTACCTGAAATAAACTCTACACAGAGAAATCCAAAGTGCGGTGGTTAGGGGGGAAATAACTGGAACCATTTTTTTGCGGCTATCACTGCATCAGCTGAAGCACATGTTGGCTTTCAGCCGTTTCAGTGAGGGCCACAAAAGATTGGCTTCAGCTATTTTGTAAAGCGCTGCGCAAACTGTTGGTGCTATATAAATCCTGTATAATAATAATCATTTCCTCACTTGCTGCACTGATCACCCACCTTTTCCACACGATCCCCCTTGTTGGGGGGGGGGGACTTAAGGGGCGAAAAGACAGCCCTGCTCATGGGGCCCCCTACCGGCTCCCAGGCCCTCAGGCAGTGCCCAAGTGCCACCCTACCCACAGACTATCATTAGTGTTTAAATATGTACATCTGGGTAAATGCAAAGCAAATTGATTCTATGCATCTCTGCAATACATGCACATTTCCCCATGCTTCAACCATTTTAAAATGCTGCAGGTACAGAAAAATGTATGTCGATCTGCCAGAAATCCAGTAAGCTCTTAACGTCCTGTTTTGGCTGACAACACACTGCTTCTGCTGCTTTGAAATGTCATGTGGTGTTGTCAGCCATGCCCTCTAAACTACAGAACATTACCTATTAACATATCTTTTGTTTCCAAGGGTGGGAGAGGTCTGAGGTGTGAATTGGTCATTAACATTTATTTTGTTTCCAAAGGTGGGAAAGGTCTGAGGTGTGTGTCAGGAATGGGTTCACCACTGGTGGTGGGACTCACCTGCCGTGTGGGCTGCAGTACCAGGGCTGGCCAGCAGGTGCTCTCAGCAGCCAGAAGCTCACTCCTGCAATCAAGCCATCACCTGGGGCCGATTGCAGGAGGTGTATTAAAGGAATGGCCAGGCCTGCTGTCAGGGCCTTGCTGTATTGTTCCCATGAGCCCCTGTACCTGCATCCTGTCTGCTTCCTGCCTTATCCTGACTCTGCTTGATCCTGACTGTGCATGAACTCTGCCTGCACCGACCTCAGCTACTCCTGACCAATCTTCTGCCTACTCCTTGTACCTTGTCTGCCCGTTAGCTACCGACCCGGCCCGCCTGACTACATTGTGCTCCATATATATATATACATATATATATATATATATATATCAGTTTAGGTTTGGGTTTGTTTCACCTTGTTGTATGTATTTGTGTTAGCTTTGGGTTTGGTTTGTTGCACTCCGTTTATGTTTGTGTTGTCCTTAATAAATTATCTTGTTTACACGCTATACTTGAAGTCTGTGTTTCCCTGTGTCGGTCCACACACACTTCTGGTCATTCCCAGAGACAGTGTGAATGGTCATTAACATATCTTTTGTTTCCAAGGGTGGGAGAGGTCTGAGGTGTGAATGGTCATTAACATATCTTTTGTTTCCAAGGGTGGGAGAGGTCTGAGGTGTGAATGGTCATTAACATATCTTTTGTTTCCAAGGGTGGGAGAGGTCTGAGGTGTGAATGGTCATTAACATATCTTTTGTTTCCAAGGGTGGGAGAGGTATGAGGTGTGAATTGCTCATTAACATATCTTTTGTTTCCAAGGGTGGGAGAGGTCTGAGGTGTGAATGGTCATTAACATATCTTTTGTTTCCAAGGGTGGGAGAGGTCTGAGGTGTGAATTGGTCATTCCAATGTGTGACAAGCTTGGTAGGAACATCCTGTGTTCAGTGTTTTGTCCATTTGAGTACCTTGAAAGCGCTTTGAATGCATTTTTCATGATGAAAAAAGACTCTGGACAGTATGGGGAACTGAAAGAGTTAAAAAAAAATTCTGACGCAAACGCTTATAAACACAATTTGCCGCGTTTACAAGCGTTTTGCGTTTGAAATGCTGATAAAATCAACTGCTGAATGCAAGTCTTCTGCGTTCAAAAGAATAACTGTAAACTCAAATGCTTGTAAACGACTGTAAACGAAGATGTGTACATGGACACATAGGAAAACATTAGGGAGAGTTCAGGGGCTGTTGAAACAAACGCTGAACAGCTTTAAAATGTGAGTTTATCAGCTGCAGTGTACATGAGCCCTAATTCTGTGAGCTATAGTGAAGAATAAAAAAAGCACCATTGCATTTGTAAATTGGCACTGACATACATTGCGAAAAAAATTTGTAAACCGAGGCATTATTTTCAATGGATCTTCATTCGTAAGCCGGAAATTTACGTTAACCGAGGCGTTCGTAAACGGAGGTACGCCTGTACATCGCTTAAGGTTCGAAAACTACACTTCTGTGCTGTGCGGACCGTTACCAGTGCTGCCAAACAGAATCTAATAGAGGTCAACAGCTCCTGACTCCCCCATTGAGAACATACTGTCTCCCCAATACTGTCTGGTGGCAGAGGAAGGGAAAACCAATAGATTGTTGCAGACCAGATTTTTTTTCTTCTGAACAAAGAGAATCTGGGGCTCTTTTCTGGATACTCACCCATGCTGGTCTGTGGAGAAACGTCTTCCTCCTTATACGACTCATCACCACAAACAGATGTTTCTTCTTCATCATCTTCTTCTTTCACTTCAACTTTAATCAGATTATCTTCCTGAAATGACATATAATACCAAACCCCCGATCTTATCGTTCTGTGTGCTTACATAAGAATAGGCTTCATTTCATTCTTCCTGGGGCACTATTCCTCCCACTAATACCAACGATGGGGCACTATGCCTTCCACTGATACAAATGATGGAGCACTATTCCTTCCACTGATACCAATGATGGGGCACTATTCCTTCCACTGATACAAATGATGGAGCACTATTCCTTCCACTGATACCAATGATGGGGCACTATTCCTTCCACTGATACCAATGATGGGGCACTATTCCTTCCACTGATACCAATGATGGGGCACTATTCCTTCCACTGATACAAATGATGGAGCACTATTCCTTCCACTGATACCAACGATGGGGCACTATTCCTTCCACTGATACAAATGATGGAGCACTATTCCTTCCACTGATACCAACGATGGGGCACTATTCCTTCCACTGATACAAATGATGGGGCACTATTCCTTCCACTGATACCAATGATGGGGCACTATTCCTCCCACTGATACCAATGATGGGGCACTATTCCTCCCACTGACACCAATGATGGGGCACTATTCCTCCCACTGATACCAATGATGGGGCACTATTCCTCCCACTGATATCAATGATGGGACACTATATTCCTCCCACTAATACCAATGATGGGGCACTATTCCT